AATGTGGAGACCACGGTAAAAAAAATTACCTGTAGACCCACTGGTGAACACTGTTTAGATAGGTGGGACAAGGGTAAGAAATACCCATGGACTCACTAATGGGATATGTTGGTGGAACCAGGGGTAATAGCTCGTTAAAAATCGGCTAAGTGTTGGAATTATTTGCTCTTTTCGTCTTTCGTTTACCTATTTTTGTATCGCAGCGTAATAATACCCAGGCAGAACTTTCGAAGTTATAGAAAATCGATGACAAACAACAATAACTTTTCCCGCGTTAGTGTTAATTTTTTTTTCATAAACAACTTTCTATTCGAAAAATAAAACCTTTGATAAGTTACCTCCTTGATTGTCATTTTTTAAAAGTAAAAGATCGTTCTTTTTTTGAATTACACGACAGATATGAGTTTACTATGTAATTTATTTGGCCGCTAAACACGACAGATATGGATTTTCATACATTTTTTGCCGGTCGTTTTCAAATAGTTTGCAACCGAAATGTCAATGTCAAATTTTGCATGGAAACTTGAACAGCAGCGCCACAAAGTAAGTAATGGGAACTAAAAATCAATACACATTTGACAATGACATTTCGGACTCGCAAACGATACGAATTCGATATTGGTTCGTGCTAGGGGTAAAATTGAGTTTGTGCGGAAAGTGAATGGGATTTAGATTGGAGGGCGCTGTAGTGCTTTTCTACCGTATTTGTAAGGTTTTACCCCTTTTAGACATGATTAAATATAAAAAACCGCAAGAAATTACAACAACAAACAAATCCGTATCAATACAAAACTTTGACGTTTGACAGATGCCTGGGTTGCATTGCCTTATAAAAATCTTAATGTTAGTTCCGTTTTTCGCCACGCCCATTCTCTTTCCGCACAGGTTCTACAGAACTTTTGATATATCTTGAAGAAGATTCCCAAAATATTGCTAACATTCCCAAGCATGTTCGAGAAAAACTAATTTTGTATACTTTCTTATTAAACTCGTAGGTATCTTTGCTTTATATATTGTTTTAAACTTTCATGGTCACTAACATTATAGTAATATAGGCAACATGATGATGCGCTTGCAACAGTGCCGAAATATCGGAAACTCGCTAAAAACAAGGTACATGGTAACAATCCCGTAAATAACTTATATCACTATAATCTTTGCTTTAGTCCGTACGACTATTTTTATTTTATAAACAATGTTCTGTAAATGTAATAAAATTATTAAATAATGTTGTATTTACCCTGGACAAAGATATGCACTCTTCGCGACCACAATCACTGCCAGCCTTTATCAACTGGCACAGATTATTCGATTACGGTTTAATGACCGATGATAACGCACGGTATAGGTATTCAGGGTATTATCTAATTGATTATAACAGTGAATTAATGTTAACGAAATTGTTAATAATTAAGAACATTGTTACTTTACTTTTGCTATTTTCTGTCATTGTAGGATCGTATTTCTAGTTGATTTCTTTTGACCAATAATTAACAAAGTTATCTATATATATAAAACTCAAAGGTGACTGACTGACATAGTGATCTATCAACGCACAGCCCAAACCACTGGACGGATCGGGCTGAAATTTGGCATGCAGGTAGATGTTATGACGTAGCCATCCGCTAAGAAAGGATTTTGATCAATTCTACCCCCAAGGGGATAAAATAGGGAATGAAAGTTTGTATGAAACTTTGTCAATTTTAAACCGATCGGGCTGAGACTTTGCATGCAGGTATAAGAAGAATCATAGATGAATGTCATTGTGTATAATACAAGCCTGAGAACAAAACCTGTAGTCTACACTTCAGCTCTACACCGAAGCGAAGCGAGGGCGGGCCGCTAGTTATTCTTATAATTTTAATTTTTAAGCATGTAACTGCTTGATGTTTAAATCGAAAGAAAATATAACTAGAAAAAAATCCACACGGACCAGGCGCTGCCTTACAGCTTAAGAATGGCTAGAGGAAATTTTGACGCGGCTGCCAGGGCCGCGGTAGCATAATTAGTCAGTGCATTCGCCCGGATTGCGAAGGGTGCGGGTTTGAGTCCCGTCTGCTGCCTGGTCCGCGTGGATTTTTTTCTAGTTATATTTTCTTTCGATTTAAAGTTATTATTATTATTTTTATGTTACATTTTCGTAATAAACAGCTGATTTAAAATTATTTGACGACCTCCGTGGCCGAGTGGTTTCTACGCCGGGTTTCATGGTGTCGCCGACTCGAGAGGTCCCGGGTTCGAATCCCGGTGGGGGCAGATGTTTGTGTGACGAATACGAGCATTTGTACACCAGTCGTGGATGTTTAATATGTATTTCTATATAAATATACTTATATATGTACAATATATGTATTCTATCTGTTACCCTAGTATCCCATAATACAAGCCTTATAGTGCTTAGCTTGGGGCTAGTCTAATTGGTGTGAGTGTTAGAAATATTTATTTATTTAATTATAATAAGTATTTGTATGTCATAAAAGATTACATTATTATTCATGTTATTGGCAGTATAAAGGTCACATGTGCGCTGCTTTTAAAAAGTGTGTTGACTCCGTAACAGTTGATCGTACTTTATGCATGTCAATTACGATTTTAAGGGTTCCGTGCCCAAAGGGTAAAAACGTGACCCTATTACTAAGAATCTGAGAGCTGGGCGGAACACCTAACATTTTCCTGCAGAACCTTACCTATTAATCAAAATAGTAATTTTTCACTCACACGAAAAATAAAGGAGAATTGCCGCCTAAATCCTTCTGTTCATTCTTTAGTCATTCCTCCCTGTCAGCCTCGAAATTCTAATTAGTCAACAAAATTAATAGAGTCAAAAATTTGTGATGGCGATCTCCGAGAAGCCCGTATTACAGAATGACAACTAAATGTTGATCTTTACTTGAGTACAGTTAGAAAGGGATGTCGCTATGTGCTCTATATATCGACATCCCTTTCTATCTATGCTCAAGACTATACCGTATTATAGAAAGATTTCTTTCTATAATACGGCCTGAGAATCCTTCTGTATACGGCCATAGGGTGCGGCCAGAGTGCACTCAGATTCAGAGTCAGATTCAGATTCTGAAAACAAGCGCGAGAAATAAACAGTGTAGTCTAAGCAGGTTGCCTGCTTTTTCTCGCGCTTTGTTTTCTGAGTCTGAATCTGAATCTGAATCAGGAGTGCAATCTGGCCGTACCCTTCGACTACACTGTTTATTTCTCGCGCTTGTTTTCGAAATCTGAATCTGAGTCTGAATCTGAGTGCACTCTGGCCGCACCCTATGGCCGTATACAGAAAGAAAGCTGAAAGCCGATCGGCGCCGATCAGCGTCGATAAGCGCCGATAAGCGCCCACACGCGCTGGTCAGCTGATCATTATGATCTTTGTTGTCCGAATAATAAATAATTTGTATTTGAATTAGATTAAATCAATCTTAGTTATAATCACTTTATAAATCTAATTATCTTTTATTAACTAAGCGCTAAAATTATTTGTTTCGTACTTACCGAATGGTGACAACAAGTCTTTCTTCTGGAAGGATTGGTTGTTTATGCCAATTGCACCAATTTTTCATCAAACGGTTTTTCACTAAATCCAAAATGTAATAAAATGTTTCTTGAGTCATTCTTGTATATGTATAAAATCTTTGATCATCAAATTTTTTTTTTTTACAAATAAATGATGGTATTCTCCGAAACGTTTCCTTTCTTTGTTTATAGGATGTATAGCTTTTTTCGCATTTTTAAATACACATTTTCACACAAAACCAAATCATCGTCCGATGAGTCCGACATTTTGCTTGATCTGCTTTAATCGGCTTCCTTTATGTAGTAAGGATCGGCGCCGATAAGCACCGATCGGCTTTCGGCTTTCTTTCTGTATACGGCCTAAGGGTCACCTGACAGTTGACGGCGACAACATCGTGACTGAACAGAAGTTTGCGGCTCCTCGGAGATCGCCATCGCAAGTATTTGACTTTGTTAATTTTGTTATGTTTTTATTTATTTTTTAAGCATTTAACTGCTGGATGTTTAAATCAAAAGAAAAGTTTTACTAGAAAAAAATCCACGTGACCAGGCAGCGGACGGGACTCGAACCCGCACCCTTCGCAATCCGGGCGAATGCACTGACCAATTATGCTACCACGGCCCTGATGGCCGAATCGAAATTTTCCTAGCCTTAAGCTGCAAGGCAGCGCCATTGTAGGTAACCCACAATGTCAAATGAATACTTTTTCAAGTATTAAACATTTGAAAGAAGAAATAGCAATTATTGTTATGTTTTCATTTATTTTTTAAGCATTTAACTGCTAGATGTTTTAATCAAAAGAAAATTTTTACTAGAAAAAAGAATATATTCTATTAATTTTGTTGACTAATTAGAATTTCGCGGCTGACAGGGAGGAATGACTAAAGAATGAACAGAAGGATTTAGGTGGCCATTCTCCTTTATTTGTTATTTAACTGTACTCAAGTAAAGATCAACACATAGTTGTCATTCTGTAATAGGGACATTAGTGCTCTTGAGGACAAGCACCCACCTCCAGCACATAGTGGCAGCTTCTTCAGAGACGATGTCAAGAGACCTGACGGAATGACGCTCAGTCCTTGGAAGCAGTGTCGTCCTCGTGTATGGGACGCTACTTGCGTGGATACACTTGCTCCGTGTTATACAGGTAGTACCTACCTTCCTAGCTGTAGAAATATATATATATACAGGGTGTTACAAAAATACAAATAAAGGGCGTTGAAGTACATCATAAAAGGAGTCTTCTCTAATTTTCTTAAAATTTTTGCATGAAGTTTAAACTTTTTGAAAAAAACAGTTATTTTTAATGATTAATAAAAATATCGATCATTTTAAGATACGTCACTAGTTCGAGGATCATTAAAAATAACTGTTTTTGTAAAAACTTAACACTTCATGAAAATATTTTAAGGAAATTAGGAATATATATATCTATGTATTTAATGTATTAGGTACAAGTGCTCGTATTCATCATACTTACATTTGCATGGGCATATCCTTCCTCACCGTGCTCGTGTTCTACTTGCCGTCGGACAGCGGCGAGAAGGTCTTTGCCTCACTGGGAATCAAACCTGGGACCTCTGAGTAGGAGACCTTTAAAAGGTTCATACCATTCGGCCACGGAGGTTATCCAAATAATAAATATGTATATATAACACAGAACATAATCCCCCTTATTAAAAACGAGGACTACGCTTGGATTAGTTACTTCATTTTTTGTCTCTGTCTTTTGAATGACAAATTACATTTGAGCGACATAAACAAAACACAGCGTATCTAATCTAAGCTCATTCCTTGTTTATAAATAAGGAGGAATATGTTTAATGTGCAAAGAGATTTCCACTTGTGCCCTGATAACGTTGTCAATAAGTTCACGGAGTTTAAAACCAATTTATTGTGCATCGTAAACAACACAACACATCCCAATGAACACGAAAACGAGTTAGTAAAACCAGTTGGTTGAATCTTTAAGGAAATTCAATCACTATTAAAATACTTCGACAAAGGGCGGGCGTGTGTGTCTTCATCTCGATACCTCACTTGAAATAACATTAATTTTGTAAACAAATTGTGTGCAACGTTTCAATATGGAAACACGTGCTAAGTGGTGTTTAAGTTTTGGATTGTTATTAACAGTGATGAGTACAGGTAACTGTTTTTATGTTTGTTAAAAGCTGTTTGTGAACTTTACTTGTGATTCGTATTTTTTCTAAACTTTACTTCTTGTCGTCAAATCTCTAATGCTTTTAAGCAATAATTTAATACGGTTTCGAGTTTTGCCCACAAAAATTTGATTAATGCGATGACAGTCTAAAATTAAATTGTAATTGTTGTTGTAACATCGCTAACGGTTTTATTGAGAAAAGTTTTGTATAGGAAATGGTATTTCGTAAACGAAATCACGTTTATGCAATAAAATTAGGGTTACAGACATTTTTCCCGGAATGTTTTAACTAAATATAGGGAGGTACTATACTGACAATATCTATATTATATATATAAAACTCAAAGGTGACTGACTGACATAATGATCTATCAACGCACAGCCCAAACCACTGGACGGATCGGGCTGAAATTTGGCATGCAGGTAGATGTTATGACGTAGGCATCCGCTAAGAAAGGATTTTGATCAATTCTACCCCTAAAGGGATAAAATAGGGAATGAAAGTTTGTATGAAACTTTGTCAATTTTAAACCGATCGGGCTGAGACTCTGCATGCAGGTATAAGAAGAAACATAGATGAATGTCATTGTGTATTATACAAGCCTGAGAACAAAAACTGTAGTCTACACTTCAGCTCTACACCGAAGCGAGGGCGGGCCGCTAGTCGTTTGATAAAGCTGTTGGCAGGATGAAAGTTAGTTTATTATAATTATGATTTTAGAAAAACAATCATTCATCAGATAACCTACCTGGCTTTATTTCTAATTTTATTCAGGGTTCCTTTATTACATTAATACGTACTCCAATGAGGGTTTTCTGAAATGCCGGGCGCCAGATGGCAGCACTGAGCCGAAACGTCTTCTCATCCATCAAATCACGTATGTCATTGTCTATGGACCAATTTAAATGGTCGTTCTATTAGTGCGCGCCAAAAACCACATACAAAAGACCTCATGTCACAGTGGCGCCAACTGGTGACGAACATTTTCCTAAACACCATCATTAGCCCATATAGGTTAATCGCTTAACTGAGTCCTCGCCTGCGGGGTACAGGGTGACTCAGTTAAGCGGTTTGCCTATAGCATGAGCATTGAGTACGACATCGACTGCACGCACGATATCGATACTTATCTGTCAAACTCCATTGAAGTATGACAGTCTACGTCCATAAATGGCTTTATGACTTTAAAAATGCGTTTTGATGGTTATGCTAGGGAGGTTAATTGTCTATAGAATGCTGTGGCATTCTATAGACAATTGACGCATAATCATAGTCAATTGTTTATCGTAGTACCTAGTTATGCGTAGATAAAACGCATGAGTTGTAAACAAATGCAGATGTCATTGCACTTTCATCCTCACCTCGCAAAGCATAAGGCTCATATTAGCATTTCACTCGACCTTTATCGCGATCATTCACGTCGCGACCCGCGGTGTTCTGGTAAAATCTGTCTCTAGTATTTTCGCGGTTTGGTTCGAGAGAATTCGTGGCAATACTTATAAACTCCTCCTTTGTTTCCAGTTAACAGTCAGTACCGATACGACTACAGCTACCATACTAAAGCGAGGGGATGGCTGAAGCTCCACATCATGCCGTCCACGTTCAATGATGCTTTCAGGATATGCAACGCTGAAGGTAACGATATCTATGTATTTAAGCAATAGTAAGGATCCTTCTTTAGACTAATAAATCTACTAGCAGCGGCCGACTGCGACTTAAGGCAGAAACATGCTTATGCGTCGTGGCGTATCGCGATTTTCTATAGATTTAAATTCAAACATCTAGGAATTAAATGCTTAAATATAAAAATATAATAATAAAAAAAATGGTTGCCTGTAAAGTCGGTTTTACGGGCGAAGATTTTACGTGACAACGTCTTTTTCTCGGTAGAATATTTATTGATATGAATATAATTAAATTGCACAATAGGAACAAGGAATTGAATGAAAATAAGAATTGCACAAATTTTAACTATAGAAATATATTTTGTTTACTAAAACATTGTACATGTAAACTTAAACTTAACACGAGAGACTCATCGTAACGTTACCGAGCGTTACACTTTTTCATAAGTGACTCCCAGCCGCAACCTAATTTAAGACGTTGTCACGTCAAAACATTGTACATGTAAACTTAAACTTAACACGAGAGACTCATCGTAACGTTACCGAGCGTTACACTTTTTCATAAGTGACTCCCAGCCGCAACCTAATTTAAGACGTTGTCACGTCAAAAGCTTTTAAACGTAAGGATGAAAAGAAATCGCCCAAGTACATGACTGTCTACATATCACATGGTTAGTAGCATATACAAAACAGCCACTGTGAATTAAAAAAAATAGCTAGAGTCTGTGCGGAAAGAGAATGGGTTTTAGATTGGAGGGCGCTGTAGTGCTTTTCTATCGTATTTGTAAGGTTTTACCTCTTTTTAAACATGATTAAATACAAAAAACCGTAAGAAATCACAACAACAAACAAATCCGTATCAATAAAAAACTTTGACGTTTTGACTTTGACAGATTGCTGGGTTTGATTGTCAAATAAAAATCTTAATGTTAATTCCGTTTTTCGCCACGCCCATTCTCTTTCCGCAAAGACTGTAACTAATAATTTCGAACCTATAGGCATTGTCCTAATACAACGCGATAACGCGAATGAGCGATGCGATCATCGTACGAGTCGACGATCAAACATATTGATCTAGAATAGGTGTCCTAATAGGCGATCGAGCGATGCATTCGCGCGACTAAAATGTTTAAAAATCTATTCGCGGGAACTTAGGTCGCGCGAACGCGCAATCAAACCTGTTAATGATGAATATATGTCCTAACTGAAGTTCGCGCGATGATCGCGTCGCGTCGATAGGAAGCGGGGAGAGGGGCACTGCTAACCCGACCAAACTGTGTGTCAATCGTGATCGCTTATTCGCGTTCTATTAGGACACCCAGTTCGCGATCACGCGATGGTCGCATCGTTTAAACTCGCGATGATCGCGTTATCGCGTTGTATTAGGACAATGCCATATATATGTATGGAGACCCCTTTGTTAATTTTACAGATCTTTAATGCGCAAAGGATTGTAAAAGATTGGCTATCCCAGATATTGAGATCGTTCAAATAATCTAAGACTGGATAGTATCGTTTACTCATTAGTGATTTTTTTACGCGAGTTTAATATTTATGCATAGGAAGATCGGTAATACTACGAGGCAATTTATTATAGAAGGCAATTATTATGCATTTCCCCAAAAATTAACTGTGTGTGCTCTCTTACAGGTAAACCGCTTAACTGAGTCCTCGCCTGCGGGGTGCAGGGTGTGGGGGAGAGCGAGAAGATGGACCGTGAGAGGTGCGGGCGGCGGGCGCTTGTAATTTTGACAAGAATGTGTAAGCCGCCCGCACCTCTCACGTTTCCCGACTTCGGCTCCCCCACACCCTTTACCCCGCAGGCGAGGACTCACTTAAGCGGTCTACCTTTAATCTAAACATTGAAATAGCAAGTTTGTCAAAGTTTCTCAATCATTTGAGTCGTATGTCAAGAATTATAAATCTTAAAGTCATATGAATTGACAGCATTGGTTCAAGAAAATATAACTAGAAAAATATCCACGCGGACCAGGCAGGAGACGGGACTCGAACCCGCATCCTTCGCAATCCGGGCGAATGCACTGACCAATTTATTATGCTACCACGGCCCCCACGGACCGCGTCGAAATTCTTCTAGCCATTCTTAAGCTGCAATGCGGCGCCATCTCTTCGCATTATATGTAACCCACAATGTCAAATGATTTTTCTTTAGATTTAAACATCAAGCAGTTACATGCTTTAAAATAATAAAAATTATAACTGTAATTGCTATTTCTTCTTTCAAATGTTTAATACTTGTAAAAGTATTCATTTGACATTGTGGGTTACCTATAATGCGAAGAGATGGCGCTGCCTTGCAGTATTTAAAATAATAAAAATTATAGCTTTGGTTTACTTTACCTACCTATGGCTGTCTGTACCCTTAGTACGAGTTTTACAATTACGAAAACTATGATAGTTTTCGTGAGCTCGCACTCGTAGATTTTATTGTTTTCGTTTCAATACAAATAAACAGTGTTTAAATTCTATCATTAAATCATATACGTCTTCTTAAATTTTAGGTATATTTGATTACTTATCACTAAAATGGACATAGAGACATAATTTACAATTACGAAAACTATGACAGTTTTCGTGAGCTCAAAGTCGTACTAAGGGTACTGTACATAACTACTCGCTTACATTGATATGGCCAGAATCTCACCTGGTACATTGAGTTATTATATTTAATAAGCTATTTTACTATGAATTTTATCAGATCGGTTTCACCATTCTACTAGTTGAGATCACCTATTTATAAAACATTAAAGGGGTTTATTGAGAATAATACGAATAAACTAACGCCTGCGTTCAAGATAAAAAAAAACTTGTTTTTTTAATATATAAACATTTTGAATGCGACTAATTGATTTTGATATTGTTCTTATTACTAGAGCATAATATATTAATTATGAGCCTCTTCAATTACGCCGTGACGTGGCGTCACTAAGCGCGTTCTATCGTCTGTACCACGGCGAGTGTTCTGAGGAGTTATTCTCTCTTATCCCACCTTCTCCTTTCCTTCAGAGGACCACGCGCGCTGGCCTACGTTGTCACCGTCTAACTGTGGCTACAATTCTAACGCCTACAAAGAAATTTGGTGACTCATTTCTTTGTCGCACTATCCGTAAATGGAATGCTCTGCCCGCTCACGTGTTCCCTCCCTCTTGCAACCTGGGATCCTTTAAAAGAGGCGTGAAGAAGCAACATGCAGGCCGGCAGGGTGAGAATGGCTGGTGTGGCAGGTAGAACTGCTGTATCAACTATCTTCGCGTCTGGACTTCACCTTCACTTAACATCAGGTGGGGTGGAGTCATTTGTCGGACCTATTTATGGCTGGTGTGGCAGGTAGAACTGCTGTATCAGCTATCTTCGCGTCTGGACTTCACCTTCACTTAACATCAGGTGGGATGGAGTCATTTGTCGGCCCTATTTATATAAAAAAAAATTGTCTCATTCAATTGTTGCATGTTGTGTCATTGAGGCTTTGTAAACATTAAATAGTATTTCAGGTGCAGTGTTAGCGTCCCCACTAAACATTTTACTGAAAAACGTGATGATGACGATACAGAACAAAATGGTCGGTGACTCCTGCGCATTGTACACAGGGATCCACTCAATCTTCGCCCAAGGATCATTCGCATCAGTTGAAGGTAAAAAAAAAATCTGGAAAATATAGAATAGAAAATATTTGACGGCGGATGGCGTCTCACTCGCTCCTTCGAAACGTAAAACCGACAACAAATGTCATCAGTCATTGTACCATTGCTTTGTGAAACGTCAAGTTATGACAGTGACAGCTGTCATCACTTGGGAGTGGTCTATGCTAAGGGTAGTATTTAAGAGGGTAACGCTTCATTGGAAGGGGCATTCGGCATTCAGACGTGAGCCGCGATAGTGAACGGACGTTAGCACAGAACTCTGCACGCTTCGCATAGCAATCCGTTTGTACCTTTGCAATCATTGCTTATTTTGTAAAATGATTAGAAGATTCAAATTAAACGTTAGCTTGGTCACTAGACTACAGTTTTATTTTCGGGAAATATCATTGAATAACCAAGATGGCGGATCAAGATGAACCACTTGGCCAACCGCCTATCCCCCTCGCCCCCCTCCGACATATTTGATTCAGTGACACTTTTACTAGTAATCTTGTACCTTACGAATATTATAATCAATCAATCAATCAATTATTTATTTGCAAATACAGGTGATACAAAGGTGTCAAATTATAATACGTACGCATATTCCATATTTCACCACAAGGCATGCAAATTAAAATAAACACACAGTGTACATCCATTTACACAGATTTGTCGTCTAAGAATTCCTTAATACTATAATATGCTTTTTTAAGTAACACATTCTTTAATTCAGAGCGAAATATATACATATATTCTAGGTGTAAGCATTTGCGTCACTAAACAGAAAACTTGCACTCAGCAAGCTATCGCTGCTGACTGTTCGACGCCGGTCTTCTGTGGTTACCTTAGGACGTAGGGATGAGAACACAGTTACAATAAATTAATGGTGTCTGATTAAGGTTTGCCACGATGTTAAGGTGGTTAAGTGTCACACGGGCCACACGCCACAGCCACAAACGCCGCCACGAGAAGCTAGAAGCGGCTACTAAAGTGGCTGAAGCGCGCAACAGCGGCCGACTAAGGTAAGGTAGAGAGGGGTGGGGAATCGCGCGAGTGACGTGTGGCGGCGTTTTATATCGGCGCATTAAGTGGCCGGTGCGGGCCACAAGAAGCGATCAACGACGATTTGTAGCGTGTGGCGGCCACCGGCGTGCCGTGTGTGGCGAGTCCATATAAAATGTATGAAAACTACAAGAAATATGCCGGTGGCGGCGTTTTGTGGTTGTGGTCGGTGGCCCGTGTGCGGCGACACTAAGTGTATGGCAATGGGCGACGGTGTTTCTATTTTTTTTAAATTTAAATAAAAGAAAAAAAAACCTGTGAAATCCTAAAAATATTGACGCCTTATAATTTAATTAAATTAAGTTATTATTTTTATGCTTTTGCTCATTGTTATATGTAATTCTGTAGCGACGTTGACCCACTGAGTAGCTTGATGGCGCAGGTGGTTACCGTGTTCATCTGCGAACGTTGAAGTTAAGATTTCGCAGTGGTCGGTTATTGGATGGGTGACCAAAAATTTTCTATCTCCAGTTCCTCCGTGCTTCGGAAGGCACGTTAATCCGTTGCTCCCGGCTGCATCTGCAGTCGTTAACACTCGCCAATCCTCACTGGGCCAGCGTGATGGGTCATGGCCTAATTTCCCTATTCCATTCATAGGGAAGGCATGTGCCCCAGCAGTGGGGACATTAATAGGTTGATGATGATGTTGATGACCAAAACTTCATTATTGATCAACGCTTCCAACTGTATCAGAAACATGTCCTGAAAAACTTTCAGCTTTCACAAACAAAAGTCTGGCATTCATGGGACTTTTAATAGTATTTTAATATGTAATACGTATTGTTTTACAGGGAAACCTATAGCCAGACTTGGTATAGAGTGGGCCCCCAATGAGCCCGACAACTACAACAACACCGAAAGCTGTATCGTCATGCTCCAGAACGGTACCATGGCCGACGTCCGCTGCACAGAGACATTTCCCTTCATCTGCTACAAGAAGAAGTCTAACAACATGGCGCTTAATGATTGTGGAACTATTGATAATGGTAACAATATACCTATACAAGGGCGGATCCAGAGATCCCCTTTTTTTGTTACGCAGGCAAAAAATACTATTTGCAGACAACGGCGCCTTTAAGAGGCACACCGCCGAACGGACCTCACACCTGGCTTCCGAAGTCTTACGAACCCCCCAGTGGCTGCCCACCGAGGACCCCGCAACTTTCACGGGCACTTTACGGCATAATATCTGCTAAAAACCCTGCGAATACCTTCTACGCTGCTTAATGCGAAGCCGCGGGATCCCCATTTAGGGATTCTTCCACGCTGCACCCAGCAGCTGCTGGGTAGCTACCCGGCCTAGCCGGGGCTCCAAGGCAGGGGTCTACCAAGGTATCGCGGGGACCCCGCAGACGTGCGCAGAATGGCCCGCGCGTGGGGGCTGAGTACGGAGCCTAGTGCCCACCGTACCGCCCCCCGTCCGCTGCGGAGGGCTACTTGGGCATACCCTTGTAGCTCCCTCCGCCGCCCCCCTTTGCAGACAGAACTGCAAGAGGGGGGGCGCCGTTCCCGTTGCCCCCCTCATCTGTACCCAGCCCAGGGGGATTTTATTTATGTACTTTCAATATTTAATTAAGTACGACTATATGACCTCGATATGAGGAGCTCGATTGCGCAAGTGGTTAGCGCGTTTGGCAGCGATCTTTGAAGTTAAGCAACTTTCGCAGTGGTCGGTCATTGGATGGGTGACGAAAAAATTTACTATCTCGAGTTCCTTCGTGCTTCGGAAGGCACGTTAAGCCGTTGGCCCCGGCTGCACCTGCAGTCGTTAGCATCCGCCAATCCGCACTGGGCTCGCGTGGTGGGTCATGGCCCAATCTCCCTATTCCATCCATAGGGAAGGCCTGTCCCTGAAGGATGATGATGATGATGATACGACCCCACCCTGGCGTCAAAGCTGAATCCGCCCTTGTACCTATACCCATACCCATTATTAATAAACGAAGAATAATCATGGATTATTTAGTCCGTGTTTCGTCTCTGTTCATTTAATGACAAATGGCATTTGACAGAAATAAACAAAACACAGCGTAAAAAGCCCCTGCTTCCATCCATCCATCTATCCGTCAGCCTTTCTCCTTCATCTGCTGGACATAGGCCTCACCCATAGAACGCCACAATGCGAGGTCCTTTTTTTCTTTTTTTTTTTTGTCGCAGTGGAAACGCATTTACGCGTTCAACCCGCCGGCTGACGACCGACGAGGATATGCGAGACTCCCCCGTCAGGGTCCTCTCCCGGCAAATACCGCAGGGGACCCTCTGCGGTATTTGCCGGGAGAGGACCCAACAGAGACTACCCGCTAAAACCACTGCGTGCACCCTCTGGGGGAGGATGAGGCCTGGGGACTAAACGTAAAACTTAAACAAACCGCACCAATCGTCCAATCTTCCAGAATACCCTTACACTCTTACTCCCATCCTTTAAACCTTTTATTTATTTTCTGCTTCGTTTCCTTTCCTCTCCTCTTCTTTCGCCTTTCACTATTATTAAACCGTCCTCTCCTCTCCCTGTCTTTCCCACCCATTCGACCTCCCTGGCTGCATCTCGACGCGGCCTCGGATTCTGATGGGGCTACTCTACCAAATATCGAATCCCTTATACATCACAATTATGTTATATTCAGCACCTTAAAATGTAATAAATAAATGAGTTTAAAAAAAAACTTCCAGAATACTCCTTGGACTCTCGCACGGGCAGCTGTTACAAGTTCCACCGAGTGGGTCGCACCTGGAGGAACGCCTACATGACCTGCATGGCCGAAGGGGGCCACCTCGCCATCATCAACAGTCAAACCGAGATGCAGGTCCTCAAAGAGCTCTTCGCTAAGCATCCGACTGATTCGATCTCCGCTCAAAGCAGAGACGTTATTGCGGTTGGCTTCCACGATTGGGGAGAAAGTAGAGTCTGGTATACTGTCCACGGTAAGTTTCCAAATAATAATTTTGAATCCAATCACTAACGTAAAATAGACTTATTGTTGTCTCTGATTACCTACGAGGTATTATCAAATAAGAACATCCTCCTATACTTCGTGTTAATTTTCCCGCTGTATTTCTACTAAGTCTTGACTAGGACACTCTAATACAGTGCGACATAAAAGAGTAGAAAATAACTACTATCGCTCAGGTGGAAACACAGATTTGACATCATAAACAATCTTGATACTTTGAATATTTTAATTAAAGGACATTGGGCAAAAATGTATGGACGCTGCACCCACGTCCGCCACGGCTTAAACTACATTTTTTTGAAAGGTATTATAGTCAAGATCATCTGTGCCAAAGCGCATCAAAGTCCATCCCGGAGGTCTTTAGTTATTTTAAATTAAATATGTAGAAGAACTATAACGAACGAACATTAATGAAACAAGGGAATTAATTCAGTTAGTTAGTTCGACCCTACATAGGGTGCTCAGGAATTATGGGAGTACTTCATGAGGTGCAAGGCAGAATAACATAAGGGGGCACCCTTATGTTATTCTGCCGCGCTAGAGTAAATCCAAAAATCCCCGCATGGGTTGTTTTTTTTTAAACATTATGTTCGCTATATATAGTAAATTGTGTTCTATGTAAAACGGTGCGACCACAGATTACACAAACTTGTCCACGCTTCGAATAACACATAATTCCAGTTAATCCATACTAATTGACAAAACCGATAATCGTGTTCCAATATCCAAAGCGTGTTAGATAAAAATCAATCAAGTAGCAGGGAGCGCACAATCACAACGAAGTAAGACAAGTCGACTATTTGCAACTGCAAGTCCTTCAGCATTCGTAAACCGTTTTGAAATGTCTCAGTAAGAGCAAGCGCAGGATGGTCGGCAGGCTTTGTCGTATATCTGGTTGTATAGTACGATATGGCATATTATTATGATTACTAATAATATAAAATGAAGGTATTATAAAATGAATTCATTCAGCTACTTAAATATATGTGACATATCTATTGACTACCAGGATATTTTTTACGGTGTCATATCTTTTGACTCCCAGGATATTTATTTTCGGTATCATAATAAAAAAGGCTAGTTTTTCATAGATCTTTCGATTCATATTAATTACATTGTTGGCGGAGCTGGGTGCGTTTCGCCCATTGACCTTTTACTATGAAACTAATTAAATTCATTATTTTATTCAGACTGAACTGAAATATAATTTTAATGGTATATTATAAGGTTTTGTAGTTTCGCCGTATCAACAGATAAACAGCTCATTGTGGCTACACAATTGCAAAGTTGTCGTTTTAAAATCGTTTTCTATTTTAAATTCAGGACTACATACTATAGATTCTACTTTATTGCTATAACACTTTTATTTATAAACAATTAAAAGTAGTTACATAAGTAAAAGTAATTACGTACTTCAAAAATAAATTCAGGAACTGTCGGGATCAGAGCATTTGGCATTAACATTTTTAATTCAAATAAAGTATCCCGTTTGACACACCACTTTATCTTTGTCAATTGTCAAGTAAAGAATAGAATGAATGGGCCAAGTTCCATGTTTCAGACTCCAAAAATCAAGAGGTTCATTTCTGGGTTGTAGTATTGCATTGTTTAACAAAGTTCCCCAAGATCTGATTGAGCTTCCACTGACTAAATTTAAATCTCAGATCAAAAATACTCTTATGAATAAGGGCTATTATAAAGTTGATGATTATCTAAATGATCGTAATGCATGGACATAGTGTTTCTTATAATTTGATATTAAATGGGTATTACTCATTTTTCATAACAGTAATATTGTACCTATCTAATGCCGCTTCCTATATACTACTTAAAATGTTAACTATAAAATTAATTGTAACTACATATTTATATTCTAGATGATGTAATGGAAAGTGACTTCAGACGTATTTCTGAAGTAAATTTTCAACTTGACGACACTGTATATAACAATACAGGGAGAAAAAAACAGCCCTTGCTGAGTTTCTTGCCGGTTCTTCTCAGTACAAGGTCTCCCGCCGTAGTTTTGCGAACTGATGGCGTAGCTTTTTGACCTTCACAAGTGCTTGTAACAGCCTAGACTGAATAAATGACATTTCATTTCATTTCATTTCTAATACGGCTAGTATAATTCCTCATAGGACAATCGATCGTGGACGCCGGGTACTCGACTTTCGCACAAGGCCAACCGGATGACGACAAGAGTTTCGACAGCACCGGCTCGCACTGCGGCGGCATGTTCCGCGACGGACTGCTGGACGACTTCTGGTGCATCGGCAACACCCTCCCCTTCATCTGCGAGAAAAGACCCGACAGCTTGACCGCGGAAGACGACGATCTATAATTTATCTACAATTAACGCAAATAACTCTACCCCACTTGATGTTAAGTGGTGGTAAAGTCCAGACGCGAACTTGGTTCCTGCAGTAGTCATGAACTGCCACATCGACCACATCAACATTTGTAAGAAGAAATAGCAATTATAGTTATAATTTTTATTTTTTTTTATAGTATGTAACTGCTTGATGTTTAAATCTAAAGAAAATATAACTAGAAAAAATTTCACGCGGACCAGGCAGCAGATGGGACTCGAACCCGCACCCTTCGCAATCCGGTCGAATGCACTGACCAATTATGCTACCGCGGTCCTCACGGACCGCGTCGAAATTCCTCTAGCCATTCTTAAGCTGCAAGGCAGCGCCATCTCTTCGCATTTATAGGTAACCCACAATGTCAAATGTGAAAAAAAATATTTTTCTAGTTTAAAATAAAATAAAAATTATAACTATAATTGCTATTTCTTCTTACAAATGTTTAATACTTGTAAAAGTATTCATTTGACATTGTGGGTTACCTATAATACGAAAAGATGGCGCTGCCTTGCAGCTTAAGAATGGCTAGAGGAATTTCGACGCGGTCTGTGAGGGCCGCGGTAGCATAACTGGTCAGTGCATTCACCCGGATTGCGAAGGGTACGGGTTCGAGTCCCGTCTGCTGCCTGGTCCGCGTGAAATAAAAAAGAAAATTCTAGTAATATGTATTTTCTTTACATAAATATTTTTCTTTTGATTTGATTTTGATTTGAATCCAGCAAGGTGGTTAGAGCTTCAGGCTTATCTTCTACACCAGCTACTGCTATTAAGTCTGGACTCCACTCAGAATCAATATTAAAATACGGCGGCTCGTGTCACTAACGATTTCCACCCATAAAATGCGAAGATGGTAACGGCCGCAATTCAGTACAAACTACAAAAGTTTGACACTCTTTCAACGTGTACACTGTACCTACAGGGTGTAAAAAAACCTATGACAAAGACTAAAACTACGCATTATGTATATTGGGTGTAGTATAAGTAATATTACAAAATATACATGGGCAATATTTTTATTTTTAAGTAAAAAAATTTTTTTTTCCAGTACGGAACAATGTGCCTGTGTGTATGTTTGGGCGTGTGCTTTCCTAGTTTATATGTCAGTATCATATTTTTATAATTTCGTACTTTGATATTTTGTTTATTTTTTATTTGTCACTTTTTATCGCTTATAAATATAACGTTATTATTGAAAAACCAAGATATTTTTATTGAAACTCAGCAAAACAGCCTCTACTAACTGCAACAAAATGCTTAATTACACACTTATTCGTGTAATGACTAATAATCATATCACAAATTTCTCTTAGATCTTATTTATATATAATATCAACCTATGGTGATAACTTTTAAAAATACGCTCATTAGAAGCAAATGATATTTTTTGTATCTTGTCCGAACCTGCTTCTGTGTGAACTGCGTCGCGCGCAATCGCATGAAATCACATATTAGATTAAATAAGATAGTTGAGTTCGATTGCAAAGTCAATTTATTTATTTAAAACATACAAGATTTTTAATATTAATATGGTCAGTACACGGAGCACCCCCACTAGAGTCCGCATACAAGGGCAAGCGCTTACGCCAAGCTTAAGTAGTATTTTACCTATGCGTGAGGCACGCCTACAGACGTCGCGATACAGCGTTTCATTCGGTAACCGAGCGTTGGTCGAACTGCTTCTCTCGTTTTCGTGTTAAAAACTGTAAAAAATGCCGTACTGTGCAATTAAATTGTGTGGAAAGTCGAGTACAACTTCCAGTCTTAAAAAAATAGTATTACTTTTCACTGGTTAGTTTAAATGCATTACAAAAAGACAAAAATACTGTTATATTAAATTGGTGTTAATTGTATTTATTTTTTGGTGAACGCGTTGATGTCTTTTTACATTATCCCTTTCTCGCATGAGCTACATCATATATGCTATCTCGCTTTCACACCGGCACGTGTATTGCTAGTGACTCAGATGCAGCTCATGTCTCAACGCGTAAGTTTATCGATAAGTTTGTCAGCTATGGAAATTGAAAAAATAAATAAAAACTATTTATTTCATCGTATACAATAATAGATGTCATGAGTATACAACCAACAGTTTTTATTTGACTTCAAACATATCCTAATAAAAAAAAAAAACGCGAAAATTTGTATGCATATTTGTTACTCTTTCACGCTAAAACGGTTAAACGGATTTGTATAAAATTAAGTGCGCATAGTTTATGACCTAGATAAAGACATAGAATTAACGATATTAAATACCCTAGAAACACCACGAGCGCTCAAAATGTGTCCCCATCAAGAAGTACTTGAACTCCACTCAATCGCGGACCGTTGAAAAGTCAAGATGCCAAAGAGTTCCGTGAAAAAATACAGAAAAATACTAATAGTACGTAAAGTGTCATTTTTGCGACGGGTAGCTAATTAATGTTTTTTAATTAACGCCTTTAAAGCAAATTTTATTGTTGTAATACTTACTATAAACTGATATAATATAAAATATTTGTGATATTCAAATGCATGGTCGGTTATACGTCGCCCTTAGCCATCTCTTTTCTTCGCGATCTGTACCTGCTATATTGCTAAGAGCGCATTCAGAATTGCGCGCGAAAAGTCAAAAAAAATAAGGTCTATATTCTTTCACACATAACAATAAATCGTAAAATTTTACGAACTTGACGCATGCATTTTAATTAATACCTTATGCCGTATGCATTAAAGGTGACTTCCAATGTTTAAATAAGGCATTATATTGTTTTTGACCACGCGATCATCTTACGGACCTCCGTGGATCGTCCAATGTACCTTTTGGACACGTTTCGGCCACGATTTTGTTCGTGTTGTTGTATCTAGGGTAGTTAATACCGTTGCATTAATACTTCTTGTCCTGGGCGTGTTTTTTTTGTGTTGCTTATATAAATAAATAAATATTTCCAACACTCACACCAATTAGCCTAGCCCCAAAGTAAGCACTGTAAGGCTTGTGTTATGGGATGCTAGCGTAACGGATAGAATACATATACAGTACATATATAAGTATATTTATATAGAAATACATATTAAACATCCATGACTAGAGTACAAATGCTCGTATTCATCACACAAACATCTGCCCCCACCGGGATTCGAACGCGGGACCTCTCGAGTCGGTGACACCATGAAACCCGGCGTACAAACCACTCGGCCACGGAGGTCGTCAAATATAATTTAGTATGTAGTTACTAGTCGCGTCATGTAATTAGAACGCTGGAAGAAAGTGGAGAGGGTATGATTACGCATTTGCTTACACTCGCGCACCAAAGTACTAGGCCTCTATTCTAAATTGTTTATCGATAGAAAATATCGATATTTTCTAAAATCGATCTTACCCTCATCACTTCGCTGCACTGAGTATATGATCTGACCTTGACGCGTCCAATCACAGCGGGGCTGACCTCCCTGCACCCCACCGACTTTGGCGATTTTGATTCCAAACAAAATTTGTGTGATGCGGACTCTAGTGGGGGTGCTCCATGGGTCAGTATAAGATGTTGTTAGTTCCTTTGTAGAAGGTTCCTTAAGAGCCCTTTTACGAAATTGCGCCGCTGCCGTACTGATCGGCGCGTAGGTAGATTTGCATTAGTATACACTTCTGGACACATCTATTGGCCCACCTTAGAGTTTAGGTTTAGGTTCCCCTACCGCATTATGATTGCTAGATTGAACAAAAACTGTTGATGCAGTTTTAAACCTGATACATTTTACCATCTATTTCGATCGTATTGTTTTAAATTTGAATTCAGAATACCATACGACATGGAGCTACGCCTAACAAGTCGGATATGCGCCTTGTTAAAGGCAATTGATTTTTGAATAAAAAACATGTTTTATCAAATAAAGGTTTAATTTAATAACGCGTGTTGCCTCCATGGGCATCTACCACAGCTCTCATACGATTAGGCATAGAGTTTATCAACCGCTCTATGAAATTTTGAGGGATCATCTCCCATTCCTCTTCTATGGCAGTTTTCAACTCCTGCATCGTCTGGGCAACTGGCTGACGAGCCCTAACACGTCTTTTTAGCTCGTCCCACATGTGCTCAATGGGGTTCATGTCTGTGCTTCTGGCTGGCCAGTCCATAACTGTGATGTTCACATCCCGAAGATATTCCCTGACGATGCCGGCCGCATGGGCTCTTGCATTATCATGCATAAAAAGGAAATTTGGGCCCACATAGTATATATACCGCCCCAGACAGTCCATGAGCCACCGCCATAAGCAACCCTCTCTTCAAAGCAGCATTGTGCGAAACGCTCTCCCTTACGTCGGTAGACCTTCTTCCTTCCATCATTGCCATGTAACACAATTTTAGACTCATCAGAAAAGAGTACACGGCTCCAATCTTGCTGTGTCCAATTTAAATGACTGCGCGCTGTTCGTTGGGCTCGCGTTAGTTTGGGCCCATTAGCTGGCTTGTGTGGTACCATATCACGTTCTTTTAACCTTCTCCGAACAGTTAGAGCGCTCACAGATACTCCGTGGAAGTCGCTAATTTGTTTTTGTATCTCAATGGAGGTAAGGTGACGATTTCTCAAGCTGGTCGTCACGATGAATCGATCCTGCCTTTCAGTTGTGACCCGAGATCGTGGCCTTCCTTGGCGACGAACAAAGTCGCCAGTCTCTAGGTACCTCCGATAAACATTTCAGACCGCAGATCGACTTAAATTAAGTTGAGCACTCACGTTTCTTTGGCTGTGTCCGGCCTGAATAAGTGCCACAGCTTGGGGGGCGACTTCAGGTGAAGTATCCATAGATTATTGATAGAACCTCACCTTAATGTTAAGAATAAGTAATGTTTGTTGCAAAACCAAAGATATCAATCATTTTTTCAAGAAAGTTAAATCCAAGTAAACCAATAAAACCAAGTTTTCTTAGTATTCGATTGTTTGATATCAACAAACAGGCTCCAAATTGTCTTTTGTTTCTTTAAATTCAAAAAAAGACTATTGAATGAAACTGTGA